TGAGAACTTAGTTTTCAGACTGAGCTCTGCTTTAGTCACAATGGGTCGGGCCAGTTCACGCAGAACGCCACCGGCTACTCCAATTCGCCTTTCGATCTCTTCCTCTAATTTTCCATCACTAGTAAATACAGTTCCGAGGTACTTGAACTTCTCCATCTGCTCCCCTCTCCGTTAATCTGAAGAGAGCAACGGGCAGGAGAACGAGAAAGCACTAGGTTTGTGTTTTAGATGCGTTCACACGCATGCCGGTCACGTCGCACTCTGCTTTGAACCTTTCTAAGGAGCACTGGAGATCAGTTTCAGAAGAAGCTAATAATATAAGGTCGTCTGCAAACAGCAACCTTCTCGACCTAACATCTCCTATACCGATACCCTCATCGCTTTCGCAGCTCCTAACTATTGTATCCTTGTACAACACAAACAGGATAAGGGACAAGACGCAGCCTTGGCTGAGACTAGTGCGAACGTTGAATGGTTTCGACTTAACGCGATTAACTCTGACACAATACCTGATACCAGAATAAAGTGAGACCCTTAACAATTTGCCAGCAATCCCGTATACACGAAAGCATGTCCACAGACCGTTACGTGGGATCCGGTCATACGCTTTCTCTGGGTCCACAAAACACATGTACACCGGCAGGGCGTACTCCAACGATTTCTTAACAATCTGGCGCAGGGCAAACATATGATCAGAGGTGCTTCGACCAGGCCGGAAGCCACACTGCTCCTCTTGGATCTTGAGGTCAACTATTTAACGGCACCTCCTTTCTAACACCTTTGCGTAGACTCTACCTGGGAGGCTCAATAACATTATGCCCCTATAATTGCAGCACTCCTTGTGGTCTCCCATCTTGAATACGGGTACAATAACTCCCGTTCTCCAGTCCGCTGGCGTCTTTCCCGCAGTCATCGTAGTTTGACAGACACGTGCTAGCCAGCACATGCCTTGTTCGCCTAATGCCTTAAGCATCTCAGAGCGGATTTCGTCAATTCCGGCAGCTTAACCGTTTTTTAGCTTTACACAGCCTGTGCAATTTCATCTACAGAAATAGTAATATCCGTACCTTTCTGCCCTACAGGGGAATTTTCCTGCTGTTGCGCGGGGTTAAA